CTTTGGGGGGCACTGGGGGGATCTGGGGGGGCTCAGGAGGGGCTCTGGGGGGGCTCAGCCCCCCACCCTCACCAATACTCTGGCCTGGGCACCGTCGTGTCCCGGTAGCGCTCCTCCAGCTCCGCGCTCTTCTTCCTCAGGAACTGCGGGAGGGAGCGGGGATTCCATGGATCCCAAAGGGAACAGGGGATTCCATGGATCCCGAAGGGAACGGGGATTCCATGGATCCCAAATGGAGAGGGGATTCCATGGATCCCAAAGGGAACAGGGGATTCCATGGATCCCAAAGGGAACAGGGGATTCCATGGATCCCAAAGGGAACAGGGGATTCCATGGATCCCAAAGGGAACAGGAGATCCCATGGATCCCAAAGGGAGCGGGGATTCCATGGATCCCAAGGGGAACAGGAGATCCCACGGATCCCAAAGGGAACAGGGGATTCCATGGATCCAGAAGGGAACAGGGGATTCCCAAAGCAACAGGAATTCCATGGATCCCAAAGGGAACAGGGGATTCCATGGATCCCGAAGGGAACAGGAGATCCCATGGATCCCAAATGGAGAGGGGATTCCATGGATCCCAAAGGGAACGGGGATTCCATGGATCCCGAAGGGAACAGGAGATCCCATGGATCCCAAATGGAGAGGGGATTCCATGGATCCCAAATGGAACAGGGGATTCCATGGATCCCAAATGGAGAGGGAATTCCATGGATCCCGAAGGGAACAGGAGATTCCATGGATCCCAAAGGGAGCGGGGATTCCATGGATCCCAAAGGGAACAGGAGATCCCATGGATCCCAAATGGAGTGGGGATTCCATGGATCCAGAAGGGAACAGGAGATCCCACGGATCCCAAATGGAGCGGGGATTCCATGGATCCCAAAGGGAACAGGGGATTCCATGGATCCCAAAGAGAACGGGAATTCCATAGATCCCTAAGGGAGCGGGGATTCCATGGATCCCAAATGGAGAGGGGATTCCACGGATCCCAAAGGGAACAGGAGATCCCATGGATCCCAAATGGAGTGGGAATTCCATAGATCCCTAAGGGAACAGGAGATCCCATGGATCCCACATGGAGTGGGGATTCCACGGATCCCAAAGGGAACAGGGGATTCCATGGATCCCAAAGGGAACAGGAGATCCCATGGATCCCACATGGAACAGGGGATTCCATGGATCCCAAAGGGAACAGGGGATTCCATGGATCCCAAAGGGAGCGGGGATTCCATGGATCCCAAGGGGAACAGGAGATCCCACGGATCCCAAAGGGAACAGGGGATTCCATGGATCCAGAAGGGAACAGGGGATTCCCAAAGCAACAGGAATTCCATGGATCCCAAAGGGAACAGGAGATCCCACGGATCCCAAATGGAGAGGGGATTCCCAAAGGGAGTGGGGATTCCATGGATCCCAAAGGGAACGGGGATTCCATGGATCCCGAAGGGAGCGGGGATTCCCAAAGGGAGCGGGGATTCCACGGATCCCAAAGGGAACAGGGGATTCCACGGATCCCAAAGGGAACAGGGGATTCCATGGATCCCAAATGGAGAGGGAATTCCATGGATCCCAAAGGGAACAGGGGATTCCACGGATCCCAAAGGGAACAGGGGATTCCATGGATCCCAAATGGAGTGGGGATTCCATGGATCCCAAAGGGAACAGGGGATATGGATCCCAAATGGAGTGGGGATTCCATGGATCCCAAAGGGAACAGGGGATCCCATGGATCCCAAAGGGAACAGGGAGGATGAGCAGGATCCCAGGGGAATGGGAAGATGAGCAGCATCCCATGGCCAATCCCAAAGGGAACAGGGAGGATCACCAGGATCCCACAGCCAATCCCAAGAGGATCAGCAGGATCCCGTGGCTGATCCCGGGAGGATCCCCAGGATCCGTGGCCGATCCCGTGGCCGATCCCATGGCCGATCCCATGAGGATCCCCAGGATCCGTGGCCAATCCCGTGGCCGATCCCATGAGGATCCCCAGGATCCCGTGGCCGGTCCCGTGGCCGATCCCGTGGCCGATCCCGTGGCCGATCCCATGAGGATCCCCAGGATCCGTGGCCAATCCCGTGGCCGATCCTGGGAGGATCCCCAGGATCCCGTGGCCGATCCCGTGGCCGGTCCCGTGGCCGATCCCATGAGGATCCCCAGGATCCCGTGGCCGATCCTGTGGCCGATCCCATGAGAATCCCCAGGATCCCCAGGATCCCGTGGCCGGTCCCGTGGCCGGTCCCATGAGGATCCCCAGGATCCCGTGGCCGATCCCATGGCCAATCCCATGAGGATCCCCAGGATCCCATGGCCGGTCCCATGAGGATCCCCAGGATCCCGTGGCCGATCCCGTGGCCGGTCCCATGGCCAATCCCATGAGGATCCCCAGGATCCCGTGGCCGATCCTGTGGCCGATCCCATGAGGATCCCCAGGATCCATGGCCGATCCCGTGGCCGGTCCCGTGTCCGGTCCCATGAGGATCCCCAGGATCCATGGCCGATCCCGTGTCCGGTCCCGTGGCCGATCCCGGGAGGATCCCCAGGATCCCCAGGATCCCGTGGCCGATCCCGTGGCCGATCCCGGCGCTCACCTGGCGGTCGGGGATGACGGAGCTCTGCCTGCTGACCAGAGCCCCGATCTGGCTGCCCTTGGGCCGGGAGTGGAAGTAGCGCTCGGATTCCTCCTCCGGCAGCCGCTTCACCGAGCCCTCGATCCGCACCTGGGCAGCGACAGCTCCGTCCTTCCCGCCTTTTCCCACCCCAAAACTCCGGGACCACCATCCCTGGGATCTGGCCAGAGGCTCCAAAAGTGCTCCCGAGCATGGACCCACCCCATTCCCTGCTTTTTCCACCCAAAACTCCGGGACCACCATCCCTGGGACCTGGCCAGAGGCTCCCAAGCACGGACCCACCCCATTCCCTGCCTTTTCCACCCCAAAAATTCACAGATCCCATTCCTGGTGGGGTCCACCATCCCCTGGGATCTGTCCAGTGTCTCCAGAGGTGCTCCTTGACCCCATTCCCTGCTTTTTCCACCCAAAACCAGCGGGGTGAGCCCCCAGCCCCCAATTCCCAGCCCGATCCCATTCCCAGGATCCCAGGGATCCCTCCTCACCTGGCGGCAGAGCGGCTCCCAGTAGAAAACCAGGGAAGCGAAGGGATTGGAATCCTGGCGGGAACAGGATCCAGGAATTCGGGATTCGCTGGGATTTTCCACCCAAATCCCCACCCCAGCCACAGAAATCTGGGATTTATGGGGATTTCTCCACCCCAGGTTCTCTCCCCAGCTCTGTAAATCTGGGATTTCTCGGGATTTCCCCCCAAAATTCCCTTCCCAGCTGCAGAAATCTGGGATTTTATCAGGATTTCCCCCAGAATTCCCTCCCCAGCTCCGTAAATCCAGAATTTCTCAGGATTTCTCTGGATTTCTCAGGATTTCCCCCCCGAATTCCCTCCCCAGCTCCATAAATCCAGGATTTCCAGGGATTTCTCAGGATTTCCCCCCAGAATTCCCTCCCCAGCTCCGTAAATCCAGGATTTCCGGGGATTTCTCTGGATTTCTCAGGATTTCCCCCCAGAATTCCCTCCCCAGCTCCATAAATCCAGGATTTCCAGGGATTTCTCAGGATTTCTCTGGATTTCTCAGGATTTCCCCCCAGAATTCCCTCCCCAGCTCCGTAAATCCAGAATTTCCGGGGATTTCTCAGGATTTCCCCCCAGAATTCCCTCCCCAGCTCCGTAAATCCAGAATTTCCGGGGATTTCTCAGGATTTCCCCCCAGAATTCCCTCCCCAGCTCTGTAAATCCAGGATTTCTCAGGATTTCTCAGGATTTCTCAGGATTTCCCCCCAGAATTCCCTCCCCAGCTCCATAAATCCAGGATTTCCAGGGATTTCTCAGGATTTCTCTGGATTTCTCAGGATTTCCCCCCAGAATTCCCTCCCCAGCTGCAGAAATTCAGGATTTCTCAGGATTTCCCCCCAGAATTCCCTCCCCAGCTCCGTAAATCCAGGATTCCCGGGGATTTCTCGGATTCCTCACCAGCTCCCTGCCCTTCCTGCTCTGGTAGTTGGTGAAGCAGCACCATCCGCGCCGAGGGCTTCCCATCCCTGCGGGAACAGCCCGGGAAAAGCAGCTCAGGCCTCAACATTTATTATTATTATTGTTATTATTATTATTATTATTATTATTATTATTATTATTATTACTATTACTATTACTATTACTATTACTATCATCATCATTATTATCATTATTATCATTATTATCATTATCATCATTATCATTATTATCATTATCATCATTATTATCATTATCATCATTATCATTATTATCATTATTATTATCATTATTATCATTATTATTATCATTATTATTATCATTATTATTATCATTATTATCATTGTCATTATTATTTAATTACATTAAATAATAATCCATATTGATTAAATAATAATCCATATGTAATATAGCATTATTATTTAATGATATATTAAATTATTATTTCATTACAGTTATATTTTATATTATATAAATTATTATTTAATGATATATTAAATTATTATTTCATTACAGTTATATTTTATATTATATAAATATTAAATGTGCAATATGGAAAAATTATATAGTAATGTACTATAACACAATATAACATAATATAATGTAATGTAATATAATTATAATATAATCTTATAGAAGAGAATAGAATGTAATGTAATGTAAAATAATGTAATGTAATATAACAACAAACATAATGTAATGTGATGTAATATAATACAATTATAATATAATATCATAAATATAATATAATATTATAGAATAGAATATAATACAATTATAATATAATATCATAAATATAATATAATATTATAGAATAGAATATAATAATATAGAATAAAATGGAATAGAATAGAATAGAATGTAATATAATGTAATGTAACAACAAACATAACATTATGTAATGCAATATAATATGATTATAATATAATATAATATTATAGAATATAATATAATGTTATAGAATAAAATAGAATGGAATGGAATAGAATAGAATAGAATGTAACAACAACAAACATAATATAATGTAATGTAATATAATTAAAATATTATAGAATATAACACAATATTGTAGAATAGAATAGAATGTAATATAACAATAAACATAATGTAATGTAATGTA